CCATATTATTTATTTAATTATTCTTGTTGTTCTGTTATATTAAGCGTCAATATTCCCAATGTAAAAAGTTATTTTTCAGAACTGATGTTTTGTGTTTCAGGAAAAAAGAAATCTTGTCTTATTGTGCAGAATATATTTAGTTTATCAAGTATAATATGCAATATGTTTTATATTTTTATAAAACGCTTTAGAATGTTTGTCACTCACCTTGACAAAACGATTCTCATCAAGTAGTACTGACCAAATTTGTTTAAAACCGAGTTCCATTAATGAGAAAATAAAATTTATTTAAACGGTGTTATTTAATCTGTCTTCTACTTGCAACAAATAGTTTAAGTGTCATTTGATCTGCAATTTCGTTTTTGAAATTTTCATGTTCCTCTGGCCTAACTGAAGATCTAACAAAAAAGCTTAAAACGATTAGTATTGAGTGGCACATCAAACATATTTGACCCTAATCTTGTATGTAAAAATTTATTTGCAATTTCTCTTGCTGTAAGTGCATGTACTGAGCAAGAAAACGGCACTTACAAAAGGCAAAAAAACGATACATTTAATATAGGTACTTTGTATAAAGATTATCCGGATCGATAAACCTTATGGACTATATGCTTTTGATTAAAAAAAAATAAAATCAATTAGAAAGCTAGGGCAAATTAGTCATTTGCATTCGAAAAATTTGTCACTAGAAATATTCAATTTATTCTTATGAGATATATATGGCATTTATTTAAAGTAACTTAACGAGAAATCTGTTCACAAATTAAGGTAAATAAAGGTGTTTTATTTCCATATTTCATGGATCGACACATTACTCAAGACAATATTAAATTCGAAATTTTACAGTTTTGATGTACCGATCGACTGGTGACTGAGAGGCTCCTTTGGAGTGCAAAGGTTTAAATAGATAGTGTAATCAAGATGAAATCTGTTAACTACAAAATTCTCGTCGCAAAAAGAAGTGAACTGTATTGACGTTGGTGTTGGAATTATAAATACCAGACACCCTGAAAAGTTTTTACCAATTTTTGTTAAACAGAATTTCCAGTATTGTTATAATAACTATTCAGCGATTGTAAACGGCTACCAATCTGACCTACAAAGTGCAATTGTCGAGTCTATCAATCCGTACTTTTTGAGCCGGAGACTTGGGTTTGTGTACATGTTTACCGTTTGCAATATAACTACGCAGGAACAAATTATTCGATCGTGTTTATTGTACGAGTTTAAATTTGGTTCCAATCAAAGGTATGTCGGAAGATTTGTAAGGCATTTGGAAAAGATGCGATAGATGAACGAACAATTAAAAATTTTCTTCAAGCAATGAAAGTTTCGTGGATGCTCCTATCTCTGGAAGACCATTATCATTAAATAATGTAGATTCGAGGACTGTAATTGAAATCAATTCGTAGTTAACTTTAGCAGAACTTTCTATTACTTTTAATGAAACAGATTGGTTGCCCTTCACAGTCACTGGATATTTAGTATAATAATATCGGAAATAATGCTTAATAAAAATGGCAAAACCTTTTAGGGGTACCTGATACAGAACAAAAAGAACATTGCACGATTGAAACGATATGTTTGTTAAAGTCATTACATTGTGTTTCTTAATTTCCTATAATAATATAGAACATACAATGTACAGTTTCATTTAAAAAAGTAACGATGATCTTGAAATCTCGAAAAATGACCATGACAGAAACATCTCTCAGCAGTATAAAATTTTCCCCCTGAAATAGTGTGACTTTTTCCTTAAATGATTTTCTTTAATACTGAAAATAATACAGATATTTAGAGTTGTTATATATTTTGTGATAATCTATAACAAAATTATCAGTTATAATAGAAAATACTGAAATAGGAAGTTTCAATTGAACAATTTAATTTTTATTATTTACCTGATACATCCGTTTTACCATTCTTATATATATTTTCGTATTCAATACTTACAAAGAGGACAGATTGTCATAGAGCATTAATAAGAGAATACACCTGGTTCATCGAATACTTATATACATAAATGTGAACGTAATGAAATAATTGAAACAAAAGTAGTTAAGGTGTTCCGAGAGTGAATTTTTTAAAATATATTTCGACTAATTTATTTCGACTAGTTTATTTCTAACTGTTTCTATCTCCACCAGAAGTTCCTCTTTATCTTCTAATATACATCTTTAATTTTTGTATAACTTTTGTCACTATGCTGTAATTGTACTTCTTCGAATTCACTGAAAAGAATACTATAATCAAATTGTATATTTTTTAAATACTTTATATTCTTATATTCTTCAATACTTTAGTAATAGTTCACTTTTTCCTTAAAATAATCGATTACCTAGTAATTTAATGGCGCAGGTGTACAGTCAGTGATGTGCATATTTTCTGTATTTTTAGAAAGGTTATTCGTCCCAAGAAACTATATTTTACGAATTAAAGAGAAATTGGGATAAGGACATCAAGTTTTACATTCTCCTGTTTGCGTGTTCCTATTAAATATCGTTGAAACAGAAAATTGGAATTTGAGGTGACAAAGTAAGCACATTAAATAAGTTAAAGGAAGTAAGTGAATATTTCTGCGTAAAATAATCAATCCTGATTCGCGTTATGAATAATTTGACTAGGCTAACTAGAACATCGCAGTTTTAACGCAGTAAGGGAGCAAGGGAATAAGAACTTTGTATTTGATTCTCTCAAGAGTTGCTATTACACATTGCAATGTCTTGGTAAAATTGAATTTTCAAACTTTGATGCTTGAATTTATTTAATTACGACGGTAGTAGAGTTTCTTTGACAATATAATTGATTTTAAAATAAAAGTGGAATCTATAAATATTATGGCAGAAAAAAAGTTTAGTTAAACCATAGCTTGGCGGACACAACATTTTTAACATTTCTTAACATTAAACCTACCGAACAGTTAAAGTGACATTTTGAAGTCCTTCTATAACAATTTCAAGAGTGCATCTGTCGAAACTGTAATTGATTTAGAATTCAGTTTGCGTATTGCTGAATCAATTTCTTTAATAATTTCTCAAAAAAATCTGTTATCTTTTCAATAATTACAAAATGAAAAAAACAAAAATGAGTCATTTTGACACCTCTGGTAATTTTAATGTTAATATAATCTGTTGAATTATGTTATTCTGAATACGCTAAAAATATTTTTAAGTGTAGGAATTCATAAGTTATATTTAATCTAACTGTCAGTTATTTACCCGACGTTTTATACACACGGAGCTTGGGCAGGCGAAGGTATGAGTGATCGTCATATGATTATTCCGATTATAAACGCCAGGAAAATGGTGTTCAGAAAGTACAGTTTTTCAAATTACCAAATAACGAAGAATTGCTTGTAATATGGGTACGCGAAAACGAACTTCCAAGGAGGAGAAAAAATTATTCGATTGATCGAATATCGCCGAAATTATTTAAACGCACAAAATATGGAACTAGGAGGTTTAAATGTTTGGAAGATGTAATCTCTTTCGAAGATGTAAGATTACCAATCGATACAGCCATAAAGCAGTCAAAAATTTTTTTAAATACTTTTTAATAAATCTGTAATTTAGTTTCTTTAGAGTAAACATTCAGGAAAGCTACTTTTTCACCGATTTCAATGCTTTTGAAAAATGTTATGTTTCAATACATGTGATATTTTATATACACAGTGTCTCGTTTACATAAGAACGTCTCAATATTTCCATTGTTTTTAGACTTAGTAAAAAAAATGTTATTTTCAAGGTTAAGTTTTTGAAATTTCACCAGCACTTTCTTAAATGAAATCCTATGTTGTTTGTATCATATTCGTATAGCATTGAAAAATGCAATGTTATGACATGAATGTTCAAACTCTCAATCGTGAAATTTCAAGGAGTGTCTCACTTAACTGAGAACATCTAAATATGTCCGCCATATATATCGTTAAAAAAAACTTCTGAAGACAAAGTTACACCATTCGATGATGTAAATTTGATGGTGGCCAAAATGTTTTATTTAAAGTATTTGGTCGTTTTCAAGAATTTCTAATCAAGATCCTATATTGTTTGTTCCATAATGGCATATAAATTAAGAAAACCAATTTAATAACCTCGATAACCATACCGTTTTGATCCTGTCATTTCCAAGCATTTACAATAATACATTCCAATGTTATTGCGGTATTGCGAACTTGTGGATTTGTACCGAAACGCAGTTTTCTTGCTCTGAGTAACACGTATCATAAGATAAATACGTTTCACCAAATCATTACTGCAATCCTAGGAATCGTGTTTTGAAAAATAAACGTCATTATTACAAACTGAAAAACTTATTGGATGTACTATTAACACGTTGATTAGCGAATCAGTTTTCACGAAACTGCGTAGAGTCGAAACATTTTTTCATAAAATCGAAACTGATAAGTCAAAATAGTTTTATGGCGACTGCTCTCTTAACCTCCTTGCGTCTCATAAATCGACTAAAATTTGTTTGTTTGATATGTCACCGAGTAACTTAATCTTATATCTATAAAAAATTCTATCACGTGAATTCAGATGGCAAAATACTCCAAGTATTAAGCTGAACATTTTCTTCCTTTTCTTTGCTACACATTTTCCTTGTTTTTCTTTGTTGTACACACTGGATGAAGATTAAAAGAGTGCGACCTCCTTTTTTAACAGCTTGTATTTTACGACATTGATGTATTGGTGAGTTGACGTTTGAAAAATCTGTTTCCACAATATTCGATTGTATCAGTTGACACGGGCACGTGACTTTTCCGTGCCAATAGTAAAAGTCACCGCTTGGCTATTGAGTCATCGACGATCGCCAATTTCTCGGGTACCGAATTTCGTGCGTCGCAATAACCTACTACCATGCTATCAACGACTGATTCCTCTCCTGCGTGGTTAGCCGTGGTTGCGAGAATGGTGTCTATTTGTGAACACCGGTCTATACAACATAGAAGCGAGATTGCGAGAATGAAAGTTCGTCCTTTTCAAGTCAATATTTATTGAAGACAATGGTATCAGAGTATAATAACGTTATTCGGAAAATCCATTTGAATTCTATTTGACCTTTGAACGTGGTTTTTGAGGAAGACTTTATTTTATTCCAGTGTATATTTTAAAAACTCTAAAGGTCGACGGAGACGTTGGAGTTTTGTTTAAATTTGACAAAATCTAATTCTGAATGGGAATTAGTACGATACCTATCGGTAATTATTTAACAATCTTTTCGAAACGAGTGACTTATTGATTACTGCTTAGACAATTTTTCAGTAGCAATAGCAATTATAATTTCGAACTATCAAACCTTCTTAATCAGTCAAATATAATGATTTCTGTTGATGTTTGTGTTTAAAGGGAAATTATTAACCTATATTTCAATATGACATATGCATCGATACGCCTATTAACACCAGAATGACTAGACAATTTTGGAAAACATACACACGTTTTTCTGAGAAATATTTAAAGAAATTGTTCTGCTAAGGTGCATTTTAGAATATGAATTGATTGAAATCTTAGCAAATATACTATTATATTGTCGATAATTAATGTTGGCGTTAACTCCTTGATACAACTACTCTATCATTAATAATTTATCGAAAAAAGAGATGAATTCTAGTTTTATTCGCTACTTATGAGAGTCGACACTAGATAAATAGCATTTAATCTGAAGTCAAAAGAATTGAATAATATTTACGTTTGTTGTATTCTATTTTAAATCTTCACCATGAATCTGATATGATAGTATAAAGTGATGGGTTAATAGATTTCCAATGCATTAACGTATCGCGGTATCTCGCGCGTGCACGAACTTGGAACTATGTGTTCGTTTAAAAATGTATTAGAGGTATCCATAAGAAATGTCGTTTTTTTCAGATGTAGTAGACATTTCCATCTAGTGAGTATAATTTGTGTTATTATAATATAACTTATTATTTAGGTAAATATATCAATTTTTAGTGTTCTTAGTGTTCTTTCATAAAAATGCCACTAATGTCACAAATACCATTAATGCTATTGATCCCGGTCACGTGGGTGATAGAATATGTCAGTATTAGTTTAAAAAATTTAAGAACCCTGTTTTCAATCTTTAGACTGTACAAAACCTGGGAGACCTGTTGACTTTGACAAAGATCTGTTACTGTCTGAAATTGAAACTGAGCCCAAACAAACTATCGAGGAATTAGCCACGAAGCTTAAGACTTTGTGGTCTACGATACAACGGTGTTTAAAACAGCTGAATAAATTGCAAAGAGCTGGAATATGGGTCTTTCGTGAACTTTCAGTTAAAAACAAAATTCAGCGTGTACGCATTTGCAGTTAATTTTTGTTGAGGTTAAACGGATTTAATTTTCATCGACAAATTGTTGCGGGAAATGAAAAGTGGATTCTATTCAGCAATCTGAATAAGAAAAACAATGGTTGACATCACGGTAAATACTTTTCCCAACTCTAAAACCGAGTCTTCACCTTAAAAAGGTATTATTGTCAGTATGGTGGGATTCCACAGGAATTATTCATTACGAGGTTCTCAATCCTAATGAAACAATAACTGCTGAATATTGTTGTCCTCAGCTTGATTGATTAAGCGTGACATTGTTACAAAAACGTCTAAGACTGATAAATCGAAGGGCTGTTATTCTCCAACATGATAAAGCAAGACCACATAGTGCCAGAATCATCCGAGAAAGAATCAAGAAATTATGCTGGGAAGTACCATGAAGCATTATCCCCGCGGAAAAAAATTACCTCGTACAGCATCTATCAAAACTGCAAGCGAAAAATATTTTACTTCAAAAACACCATTCTACAACAAGGGAATTCAAAGTTTGCCAAAGAGATGGGAGAAGATCGTCAATAACGATGGAGGTTTTATTATTAACTAAAAATGTATTAACTCTTCGCAAAAAAACAATTTTCTACAGTATCGAAAAACGACATTACTTATAGTAACTTTAATATTTCAATTTGAAAAGGATTTATATAGAGTCGTGGTAGAGCATGTGTGTAGATTGTGCATCGATCCTAAAGGTGTTACAACTGCTCAGACTTTGTATTACGTTTTTTATACCCAGATCTAATGATATTTTATTTCAAATGAGAGTTTTGAAGAAGAATCTGACCTCTATATCGATAATTTTTGATAATTTTGAATAGATTGTAAAAACTTATTAATTACACTAATTGAGCTTTGTATTTCAACTATAAATTCGCATTTTAGACTCGAACTTGTAGTTCAACACTCACTCATTATTTCTATAGAGTTTGTTTTTGTTTTGTGGATCTTTATTAACTACTATTGTTCATAAACTGGCGCAGACAAGGAACTTTACTACCAACAGTGTTTGAATAAATTAACGTGATAAATGGAACATGTGAAAAGCACTTGTGCGGGTCACGAAATCATCACAAATATTTACATGAGACATGAGATATATACTTGTTTAATTCGTGGGACGCTGATGCATGAAGATAGCACTTGTCGATGACTATCATTGATATGTGGTCGTATCATAATGCTGTAAATCGATAGTGCCCCCCCCCCCATAAAGTGGGTGTACATAACATAGGCTTGCAAAATTTGATATCAAATACAAGCAAAATCACGCAAACAACAAATTCTCAAATTCGTGTGACTAAAATTTGTTCAAGACGATAACACCTTGTGACGATTGGAATCAAAGCATCTTCTGTGTTTCTAGAACTTAAATTTTACACGCGCTGATTCATCCAAATGTTACACTTGGTGCTGTGACGAATTCCATTAACTTTTTAGCTATTATAAGCCACTATAGTGGCATTTGTGTATATCATCTTTTTAATACGCGACTATAGCGGCACAGTTCTTTCTCTGTCATCGATAGTTGTGCACATTATAGTCTAATCTACGTAATTGCACAGTGGACAATTCTATCAACCTCAAATCGTAGTGCCACATTTACAATATGCAGACTGCGTCAAACCTTGCTCTACAGAGGTATAACTTCACGGCTAGTCCCACCGTAGCTAAAAGATAAACTCTAGAAAATGTGTGGACTGTCTGTTCATGTGTATTTGAAATTCGTATTTGTAATAAATTTGGTTTTCTAAGAATAAAAAGAACAAATATAAAATGGACGGTCATAGAAGATTGTAGGTAAGTACAGTTGGAGGTTGACTTGGTGTCTAGCGAAACGGCACCGCTGCAAGAGGTGTCTTTCTAGTTTATATTTCTATAGTTTTTATTGGTTACGCGTAGGCTCCTGGGGATGATAGGTTCCACAGAATTAGGCTGTTAGAGATATCGAGTTTACTTTCAAAAACTCTGCCAGCATATCAAGCTGATTCGCAGACTATTGGGATGCAGCTCACCTGTCAAGACCTTGGACTTTTATTTCCTCTAAATGATCAAGTTTGGTCATCTTGCCGGCAACGTCGATAACGCAACAACATTACCGCGCACCAGTCCAAAGACCTCACTAAATCATTGAATCGGTAGTAACGACAGCCGGTGTATACAAAGGGTAGGTATGTAATCAATGCAAGCTTATGACTCGCACCCCCTGGGAATTCCTCGTTCATGGGGAATAATTATAAATCCCAATCCCCATCACGAAGGAGGTTTAGTGGGTTACCCGGGCCTTTCAGTCAAGGAAGTCACGATGATTCCTTCAGTATAGCGCACGTGGTCCAGAACACATCAGGGCTTCATAGATTTATCATTATTTAATCTCATGCGACTAGAAGCCACCTATCTCTCTAAAAGGACTTATTTGTACATTGATAGTAAAAACACATTGACAAAAGCCGACAAAAGTAGGCTAAAGTTTTGTTCGTTATTGGAATTAACCAGACAAATCGTTCCGCCAACTATAAACAGCCATGCACTACCACCCTCGTGTTTCCCTCGCACAGTATTAAGACTATCAACCTGCCGCCAGGAACTGGTTCCCGAAGTACCAGTCAATTGCAGGTCTACTGGTCGGATCTATTCGACAGTGCTTTCGTCAATGTCTTCCATATTTAATTAGCCAATTTGCATACCGCTATCTCTACAGGTGGCCTGGAGATCGTATTAATGAACAGTAAATTAACGATCGAAAATAGAAATTAGGGAAATAAACGAATTGAAAATTGGGTGAGAAAAAAATGAAAACTGATCGATTAAGCGATTTCTACAGCCTAGCTATCAAGTTATCTCTTAGCAATGCTTGGTTAGGACTTGAGGAAATTTTAGTTATTGCTTCGAATTATTATTTGTGACGATTAATAAGCTTAAGAGAGATTCAATTTTGTCTTGAAACTATGTTAAGATCCACTAGATCTTGAAAGAATTGTCTTATATTACTAAAAATGGGTGTGCCCAACAACTAATGAATTTCAAGCACATTACTCAGGTTTTGCATGTTATATTGACTTGCGTTCAGGTCAGAAGCCCGCAAGCAGACCCATCGATGACTTTTATAATCCTATAACCGGTGGAAACGGTTAGTAAGGCAGTTTCCATATCTGTTCACCATCCCCATCAGAAAGGTTGTAACTCCCTAACCAGGGACGGTTTCCAAATCCATAAAACGAGACATTTCGCCTCCGACAGTCGAGAACATCACTGGTTCGACAGCCAACCAGCGGCTATTTAAATTAAAGTCAAATTCACATCGTTAAATTACATCCATCGTGTTATTATGCATCATTACAAACGCGTTCTGCCGAAATTAACTTTTCGAAAAAGCATCATCGGATCACGTGAGCTATTTTAACCTCTTCCGACCCAAGGCAAATTATAACGTATACTCGTAAAGAAAAAGATAGCACACGTGTGCTATTTTTAATTTCACGCGTTATAATTATGGCATAGGGAAAGTGCAAATGATACATAAAGACTACCGTCTACCAATACGTAAACGTAACTATTATTGACTTTTCTTTAACGAATTTTCTTAGTAAAAATACAAATACCCAAATGAATACAGACAAAATGATAGCACGTCTGAAAAATATTCCATATTATATAAATTTAAAATAGACAAATATGAAAATGATATAACTGTACCTGTGTTTAATAATATGTGGGACCTTTGTGGTTCTCAATTACTTCTATCATCCTTTTTGGTAAGGATTTATGCAATACTTCAATTCAAAATTGTGATAAGTTTTTCCATTCCTCTTTAATTCAGATTTTTAAATTATTTAAAATTTTAAATTGTCTACCTTTTGCGTAGACAGTTTTTGATAATAATCTCCAACAGTTCTCAATTATATTAAGGTCCGGGGAGCATGCCGGCCATTCCAAAACAGAAATTTCCTCCTTTGAAATTTTTTCTCATGAATAATTTTTGCCGTTCGTATGGCAGCAATACCTTGCTGAAATACAAATTTTGTACCTGCAATGCCTTGTGCATACTTATCAATTTGGTTTTTTATTAATCTCAAATAACTTGCACTATTCATTTTTCCTTGTATAAAATTAATATCTGTTTTCCCTTTGTAACATATGCCGGCCCAAATCAATATTCCACCTGCTTTCATTTGTCGTTTAATTTTGTTAATTGTCCTTTTCGAATGTCATGATAATAGTATGTACTACTATCTGGATCATCCAGACAAAACCTTTTTTCATCTGTAAAGATTACATTCCTCCAGGTTTTCCTCTAGTGTGTGTGTTTTTTCGCAAATTCGAGGCGTGCTTCCTTATGTTTCTTTCTTAATCGTGGTTTGGCTTTTATTTTTGATCGGTTTATAATATTACTCATTTGCAGCACACGTCGAACATTTTGAATATTAGTATGTACACCAGCTTTGCAAGCAATTTCTCTTGCAGCACGAAGTATTGCTGTTGTGTCATAGTGTGATAGGGCTGCTGGCCTTCCAGTGTTTTCCCTTTTACCTTAGCTATCCGCATCTTTTAATACGTTATATACAGCTTTTCTGCTTCAATTAATTTTTTTCGCAATTTCTGTAATCGTTACTTTCCGTTTTTTTAAAACAAAAATTGCGTTTATTTCACTATCAGACAATCTTTTAGCACGACCCATCACGAAATGCGACAAATACCAATATCAAGAAGCACTAAACACTGACTGACCACTTTAACTTCCTTAAACCTTGCGACACAATGAAGAAAATCAAAATAAACCTTGAGTGTACTATAATTTTGTCTCTGGCTATTTGTGTGTTTACATTCCTCCTAAGAGAATATCTTGTAGAAATTCCAATATAGGTAGTATTTACATATTAGTAGAAGGTAGTCTTTATGTATCATTTGCACCTTTCCTGTACCATAATTATAACGCGAGAAATTAAAGATAGCACGCGTATGCTATCTTTTTCTTTGGAAGTGCAGATTGTTTTATTACTTCAAAATCTAGCAAGATGTTAAAACTGTGGCGAGGAACCATATATATACCTGTGCTTCGAGCCTATTTCTACCGGAAAAGTAGTATATTACCATTTTATATAAAAATCAGATCTGAAGAAGCAAACCTGTTAACTGTGGAATTTAGTTTGAAAAATCTCTCGTTTTATGCGCAATAGAATAAAAAAAATGAAGTGTGTACTCATTAAACGCAGGGCGAATGTACCTAGGGTATATTTTAATAAAAAACCAAAACAAAACAAAGAAGAAATACCTGTTTATCTGAAAAAATAAATATTTCCTCCTTGAAAGAAATAATATTGTTTCAAGCCTTAAGATGACGTATGTACTCGTTAAACGTAGTTAACTGGTTAAGCAAATTAAAAGTCTGTCTCGAAGCACAATTTCTACTTGGCTTTCGTTTGTCCGCGCCTCTGCCAAAGTTTATTTAAGACGAAACAGTATTAACATTCCGCTGGAAAATTCCAGAATTTTCTGTACTGTCGAATACTGTGAAATATTCTGGAAAACGTATCTAAAATGCATGTACCTATATATCTTTAACAAATTCGCAACCAACGTTTGAGAGTGAAGTAATCCTTACTGAAGCTTGAAGTAAGAACTGAGAGCTAATGGAGTTTCATGATTTACTTTGTACGATTTTACGAAATTACAGCTTGTTCTACTTCAAAAAGGAGATTCATGGTTCACGTTGCTGCGATGAATATCAGTTGGAATATTTTAATTGTTACCTACGTCTGAAATCGTAATAAATCGAATTTGTCACTATGCAAATGCGTTCGTTTAATCCAAACAAATGTTATAAGAACAAACAAGAACTTTTAAAGAACCCGTATACGTGTATAAACTTAACCAAAGAAAACCAGATATTTTGTTTAAATTATGGGGAGAAGATAATAAATTTAAATACACGATAATTTAAATATAATTTAAATTTATATACATATATATACGAAATATATACGAAAGTATGCGTTCGGTTATTACGAAATTGCAAACTTTACGTGACAAATTTTACGTGACAAATTTTATAATTTGGTACGTGATAAATAAAAAATCTATGAAAGTGCAAATATGTTTCAATATTACTTTCAGCATTTCTGAAACTATAATTAACAAAATTATCATTGTCAATACATATATGCGTACGATTCAATGAATACCTATTTAAAAATAATTTTAGAAAAACGTACGTAAATATTATTAACAATATTCGATTATCAAGCTTATTAACGTGATTGACTACGAATAGTTAAAATGATGTTCCTGATTGTCAAGTTCGTGCAAGTTTGGGGTACAAAGAAACGCATAGTCACAGTTATGAATATTCCAAGCAGTTAAAAATTCCAGGTCATGGAATAATAAATCGACTCCAGTGTAGTTGATTCATGTGCAAACAATTTCCATATGCAAGAGGATTGCAAGAGTGTCGGGAGCTGAGTCTTTACCGACACAATCCGTAACGGTTTCTTTTGTTAGTTCATAAGCAACGAAGTGATTCGAAACATATCATCAAAAAACTTTTCTGCAGTCTACATTAAATATTCATATATTTTACCTATAATGTATAGTTCATTTTTAATAACACTTTATGAGGTACAGTCTAGCCAGTACCGCTTAAGATACTTCATCACATTAATTTGTATCCAAGTTAATATTAGAAATTTAGTATTCCACATATTTATTGTTATCATAGAAATAATTTAATTTGCTTTAAGTCTTTTCATAATTGTTAAGTGCAATACACTTGATTTAAATACCTATCAAATTCGTTGGTTGTCTATTATCTATAAACCATCAAAGTGTATCTTAAAAAAATTAAAAGTTACTACAGTAATAAATTTTTTATATACAATTTCAAAAATTGGTTTGAATAGATATTATTTTATTCTTTTTATTTATATTTGATCGAGGATTTAGTTTATATATATTTACACAATCATGGCAATAGAACGTCTATGACAAAATTTATTTACTATGATTTATTCAGTATTTAAGCACCTTAAACGCAAGTTTTATAAAGAGAGTTGTTTTTTACAATTTGTTGGAATATTTGTGAACAATATAAATTATATAGCATAAATATAAGAGGAAAAAAGAAGTAACTTCTATAACTATTTGCCTTTTTATTCAGAATAGAAATTTAATTCAATTTGAAACTTAAAGTTACACTTTACTATCTTTTCAAACGTGACGCCCGTACACACCATCCATAAAACAGCTTCTTTTCAAGTGAAGCACTAACCCTGATGCATTGTCTAACACATATTTTACGTTGCAATAACTCGTAAACAATTCTTGCAGATTTTCAGAGAAAACTCTCCATCACATATAGCTTTCAAGATAATATTGAAAGAGAAACAAATTTTCAATACTAAGAGTTATTTATGCGTTAACTGTGAAAATTATACAGTATATTTTATTTTTATCTTAAGTGACAGCAGCATAATCTTTGAATAAAAATAAGGAAAAACTCTTATATAAACATGAAGTAGCAAATAATCTTTTACTGTATAAAAATGTTTATAATCTTTCATGGCAGAAAATGATTATGTGTAGAATGTAGACCAAGGTTGAAAACGGTGATATCGATTCTGATTCTTGAAACAGTTATGAAGAATCGAAATAAAGTCATAGCTGTTATTTGATATATCGGTTAGTCCTACTTGTTTGAAACTGTTATAATATCGATATAATGTAACTGTGATTTTTCGGTTCTGAAAGAAATGTAGAAACGAAATACAGAGATGAAATGCAAAACCGAAGAATAATTATAGAACCGATATAATATTAGTCTGAAGAATCAGAATCGAAACTGATATATCGAATAACAGTTATGTATTTCAGTTCTTCATAACTGTTTCAGTCAAAACCGATATATACAATTTTTAACAGTTATTGTCGGAACCTTTTCAATCCCTAATGTAGACTCTCTGAAATAAATAGGTATATATTTATATATTCTTCAACGCATTATAAACGCTGAAACATGCTTAAACTATCTTCAAAGACAGCAATACATCAATTAAGTGCACTAATCTTTTCAAATATTTTTTAGTATATTTTGGAAACCAAGAATTCGAGGCAAAATACGAATACACGGGGCCATCGAATTGATCCTAATTGAAAACATCAAAGAAAACTATAGTAAAGTTGATTTTAGATTAAGAAAATGAATCAGGTTTGTAAAATATCGGGTGTCATCTGTGATACTCATGCCAACGATCGCTAGACATTTTTTTCAACGTTGCTTTCTTGAAGACAATAGATGTTACGTCACAGATCCGGCTCGAAGGACCAAAAACTGTTCCGTAGTGGATCCGGCTCGAAGGACCAAAAATGTGACGTCGCAGCGTGGCAACCTCGATGGTTGCACGCCCGTACACGATTATTAACGCAGATTTAATTCCTCGGCTGGGGTTGTAAATCCTAGCTTTAACTTTAGGTCTCGTTAATACTCGCGACGCTTCGATTTCCAAATTTCTTCAGAAATCGACTGATTCGATTCTGATCTCCAAATGATTGAGATCAGACCACCGGTTTCTCACGATACTGAGAACCCGTTTGATGTTGCGCGTTTCGAGACGAACGAATTCTCGAATTTCGAATTGGATGCTTCTTCGGAGTGTGAAGCTGGAATGTAGTTGTCCCGAACGATGGACTTGTAGAATCTGATAGAATCCCGTTACTCCGAACGGTTGAGTGTCTGAGAGTCTGATCGGTATCTTGTCACTCCGAACGGTTGAGTGTAGAATGTGAACTATTCGGATGTTAACTGCGTAACTGATGTTCTGATAACTGATTCTACGTAAAAACTTACGCGAGTGCGATCCTGTAGGTGTTTTTATACAACACTTACAGGTTTTGTGTCGAGTGCGCTGATTGGAAAGTTGAAAATACCCAATCGGCGCATAATTCCAAAAATCGGGGGCGTCTTGGACGACGCCCCTTGGCCAGCCCTTGGTGCAAGAGCGAGGGCAATGGCCACGTGCGAGGGATCCTCGAAGATTTGCTGATGCCTTGGAAATTTCCTCCAAGTTGACTCATGTCTGGCGGAACCGTTACGAACGAGGTTCGCGTCGATCCTTCGGAAATTCCCGGTTTATGATATGGTCGGTTGTCTGTAGGAACGAAGTAAAAATTCCAAAACTATTGTCTGGACATGCGCGGATTAACTAAATGATTTTATCATGTTTTAGGGTGAAATTGCCCCCTTGTAACTAAAATAAATAAACTGAGTTCGAAAAAAGCTAATCCCGAAAATAAATTTGTTGGCACGTCCATATCATAAACGAACCTTCGAGGATTTTCGCCGTTTTGTTCCGCATCGGACGGAACAATAGACATGAAGCGCTTCGTATCTTACATAGGTAGCAAAAATCAATAACATATTGTATCTTACAATGTATAATAAAATCATTATAAATAAATAAAACAGTAAAAAAATAAGGAAAGAAAATAAGTTTCGTCATTTTATTAATCTCTTGCTTTATAACATCATGTTAGATACTTGACGAATATTTCAAACAGAATTTGACAAATATAAATATTATTCAGTTTGTTTAAATTCAAATGAAATATTATCTTTCTATTATCAATTATTATTATACTTTAGAGTAAACAAAGACAGTATATATCTAGAATTTTCTTTTTTTGCAATAAATTATTAATGACAAAAAATATAATTGTATCGACCATTGTTAAGAAAGAAGTCATAGGGCAAGGGGTTTATATCCAAAACATGGGATATTATTTTCACAACATCAGCATGTAATATTTTAAAATACCGTAGTTGATGATTTTCTGGTGTCACACGTCGCTATCAGCAGCGTTATATATTTTTTATAAAAAAAGTTTTATTATTATAAAATCAGTTTCATGTACTTTATTATTTAGAAGGTTTTATTAATATTGTGCAAATAAAGAAACGTTGTATGTATATTCACCAATCAAATACCAGCTTTTCTACAAATTTTACTTATGTTAAAATTCTATACAATTATTTGTTCATTAATATTATCCTTCCTAAAGCATTTATTAAGATAAATACTGATTGTGAACACGTGAAGCAGCAATTCAATACATAATGGTTCAATAAATCACATGTTTTCGATGTACTTACTTCGAAGACTGTTGTTGATGATTTTCCTTCGAACCACCTTTAAAAGTAGTTTGTCGCTTTAGTTTGGAATCCTCGGACTTCTCTTCTGGAGTTGGTTTCAGAAAGGACTCTTTATCGCCATCGATGCCTTCTTCCTTTGAATTACGTTGATCTGGTTGTCGATTTGTTGATGCGAGTGGCAAATTGTCTGCACTGCGAACCTTTCGACACAACTTCGATGTTGAACCGTGCCTCCGTAAAAATTCCTGAAAATTAAAACGGGACTGCGATGTAGCTGGAACAATGCAAGCTATAAAAGACTATACTGTCGTGTTTTGCTAGTTGGATATTTTCTGCTTTTTTCCTCGAAAAATTGCTACCTATGTACTTTATAAAAAGAATGTGAATTTTGAACGATCACCAAACAGGTCCTAGTAATAAATAAGCAAAGCATTAATATTTCATAAAATTGCGTGCGTACATTTATTTATTCGTGACATATGAGTGTCTACGCTTGAAGATCGCTAATACAAAAACATTTATTTGAATACTGAATGTATGAAAAATTGTCTTGTTGTTTATTAGTGAGTATGAGTATAAATCTACAAATCCATAAAAAATGTATTTGATTTTGAATGATTTCTGAGATATATGTACAAAACATATGTGAATACGAAGGCTTGCAATGTGAACAAAATTAACCACACTTCTTATTTAGATTTTGTGAGAAATATTTTAAATGCGTACTAAAATTCAAAGTATTTATTTTTAGTTTGTAATATCTCTTAAATTAATATCATAACGCCTTTACTTTAACAAAAAGTACATCTTGTACAATACTACGTAATTTCAATTTCATCTTATTTACAAATTCCTAAAATTTAAATACTGGCATTGCCGAAGAGTTAAAGTGATCAATCTTTAATTTCTTATACAAATGAAGAAGCTACATTTTTTTAGATTTAATGCGATTATTATTATTGTATCTGTATAAAGGAATATATTTATTCGATAGATTTTCACAAAAAGCTCTTTATGATACCACTAGTTACGAAATAAAAGAACTAAAATGAATCATCCTTATCGATCTAATAATAGTTCTAATGTTAAGAAACATTTATTCGTTATTTTTCAGTGCAGTCACATTATATAGATTTTGCATGTTTTGGAGATTGATGTCTATACTGCAGTTGATTATCATAATAATGCATTATTCATGAATAACCGCAGAATTATTGATTTACTTTTAATTATATTATCTTTCTGTATCTAGTTTTTCATAGTTTTTACATAAAAAATGATTCCTAGACTATAATACCTGATATTTTATAAAACATTTATTACACTGTTCAATACATACCTACCCCATTCGCACATCTCAAACTTAATTATTATTGAAAATTATTGAGAATACCTCGTGCAAGTTATTTATAAAGGACATTAATAAACATTCTTCATTCTTTTAACTTCTTGTAGTCTGATTTTCTTCGCGACTACGCTTGTTGATTTTATTATTAATTATTCGCTAGGACGCGAGAGAATTTCCTATTTATTCGAAGTACACGCTTGCTTTGAAGGTAAAACATTGATAATAGAAGAGTAGTTCTTAACTTTGACTTATATTCAATGAATAAAACTAATTTTCATTAAACTGAATTAAAAGCCTTCACCTTACTTGTCATTATGCGGTAAGGGATTAAAACTGTTCTAAAGTTGCAACACGTCATGTTTAAATCAATGAATTTAGACAAAGTCGGAGAACGTTATATAAGAAATTATGATTTCAATTAATATATATTAAATAAATGATAATAGTTATTCTATAAATGAAATTATTTGTGAATACAACATAACGTATTATTGTCGAACTTTCAAACAAGATTTGCTTATCAATGATAGTTGGTTTTATTCTGTTTTTATTGGTGAATGAAAATGAAATGCATGTTTCCATTTTTCGAAGGGGCTTTGGTTTACGATCACATTGAGAACCGAAAAAGAATTCGTTGACGCGTGATAGACGATTGTTTAGCGTAATTAAACAAGCAACAGGAAAAACAAAGAGTGATTGAAATCTCTTCGAAGAATCGAGAAAGAAGTCTTATTGGTTTCTCCTTGAAGGAGAAGAGGTGTGCAGCGTGCTGACGGAAACCTCTAATTCAGGATGAAACGCACGTGGAAAACTTAATTAGAACATATCATCAAGTAAAGCCTTGATCTCATCAAATTTACCAATGTCTCTCAGGGATAAAGTTTTATGGCTGAAATTCAGTATTGTTCCGCGAGTGAATAGTAAAATCCACGAGCCGAATGAAACTGTTAAAATTTTAATTACTTACGAAATAACTATAATTTTCTGACTATTATTTTTTCTGTTTCGAAAAAGTTGTTATAAAACGTAGTTTATTAAATGAAACTTTTATATCACATTTTTTTGTGTGAATACGAACATTTTATTTTCGTGAAAATAGCACAAAATTTTTTATTAAAAATAAAAATTTTATTAAATTAATCTAGAACAGGTATTCTTTATTAAGAAAGCTACAATTGTGATAAATCAATTTCTTGGAAATGTAGGGTAGGTAAATCTGAAGTTAAAATCTACAATTGTTCGTTGAAGTTCTATCATGCAAAAATTATGAAGTGTTTTTGTTTACATATCCTGCTTTCTTATTAAAAAATATTTGTAACTACTATATTATACTCTTAAATATCTGTTCAAAAGTACGTCATTTTTCGAGACCTTCATTAAACCAATATAAAATAACTGTTAAAACCGAACTCTTATAAATCAATTAATGTACAGAGTTAACTTAAAACGGGAAAGAAACAATTTAAAAGTTAAAAGTTTATTAAATAATTTTTATTTATAAAAGTTAACAGTTTCATTCGAGCCTTGGTTTCATCAGGAAAACGGACATATATAGTAAATTCTAGTTTGTATTGTGACGATGAACTGCTATTTCAAAATATCATTACTTATTACTGAGTATTTAACAACTATTAAAAAATATTACATATATGAAGGTGGATTTAAAAGGAGTCTGACGTATTTAATGAAAAAATATTTTATAAACAAAGTATAGAAAGCATATTTAATAATTAAATTAAAAATAATTATATTTAATATTTGTATTATTTGTTATCAATATGAGTAACTGTGACATCAGAAAACAAAAAAAATTTTATGTAGTAGTCTGATTTAATATTTATGAGAAAATTATTCTAATTTTAACCGTATTTTAGTTGTTTATAAATTATTTTTAACTATATTTGTAAGGATATTATTATTACTGACTATGTCAAATGAATTATTTTTTAATATTTTATAAATTTTTTTGGAAAAATACAAATTATAAATACGTGAAAATTTAATGGTACCACTTATTTGCCACCTTTTTATACTGTTGTCAGATGAAATAGCAAAAGAATCAATGCAAATGAAAATTAATGAGTTTAGACTTGTTATGATCGTTTAATGGTAATGTAATTAGTTTATGATTTTTAAAACTATATAGTTTAAAAGTTCAGTAGTACATGATTATTGTCGTCGGTCCATACGACCCCCAATGAACTTAACGACTTCCTTACTACTGAACTACGAACTTATTGATCAGCCTGCAAACTACACTTCACCTCTAACTGCCTTGAACTTTACCGTTTGACGTATCTATTTTGCACGGTATCTTTCACGTTCGTTACTTATTTAAATATCCACAATCGAAATTTGCTTCTACGCAAATAAGTAATATTCGCTATTTTACATTACAAATAATCTAAAGAAATTAAATTTCAAATTAAAAGACATTGTGTGCAAAAAAATGTTATGAAATGTTATTATCTACGATTTACAAAATAATAATTTCAAAATTAAATAATATTTATATAATCGACATTTTTGTAATGAATAAGAAATTTTTATTATGTAGTGTTTACTGTCGCATCTTCATTAAATCGTACAGTTTAAATTAGAAATATTATTGTAATTATTATTTTACATAACGAAAACAATTCGAAAAGTATGCATTTTTTCATTTGAAATATACATACCACTTATAGGCGTATATCAATTGAATTTATATTAAAACGGAATATGAAATACCGTATTTATATTTATTCCCATAAATGCAATATTCTATTTTTTTGTTTCTTTTAAATTAACTATTATACTTTTACGAATGTTCAACGCTTCTAATACAGTGGAATAAACTTTATTAATGAAAATCAAATGAACAGAAGTATTATAGGCAAAAGGTTGGTGCGTACGAGATGTTTGTTACAAAGCCTTATACAATTCGCGTATATTGTAAAGTGAGAGGGAGTGAGATCGGGGTTTCGTTTCCTGCGTTTTCTCCTATTTAACACGTTCACACCGGCGTGTACCACCGGTGGTACACAATTAATTATAACAATAAATAAATCAACGTTAATAAGTAAATTATTTACCAAATTATTCAGCTACATTTACTCACAATTAGCAACTAAAGTCAAAAAGCTAGAAACGTAACAACAGAATGTACTTCAACATCATTTTTGCAAACATTATGCTACTACAATCTATGATTAAACATATTGAAACACGTCTTATATATTAATAAAATGTACAGGAAGGGGTTTGGTTTTTCCCATTAATTCTAACAATGTTCTCTTAAATAAAATTTTAACCACGCATACTTTATTCCAAACGTTAAACACTGAATGAAAATAATTTCTACAAAATTGAGCGGAGTTTAGAAAAATTACAGAGCCAAGAAATAATCTGTTTCAGCGAATAAGATGAAAGAAACCCTGCAATGTTGTACGATAACAGTGCTTTAAATACTGAAAAGAATTATACAAAAATTTCAAAAACCAAAGTCTAAAATTTTACTTCGTTTATCACATGCAACAATAATCTTACGAACCCTACGAATTTTAACTTTTCCAATATTGTAATAGTGATATTCTGAAAAATAAATTGCTTAAAAATAAAGAAATTATTACAACAGAATCAGAAAAATTTCTAAATTATAAGATTAATGACTTTCATATATGTGGAACAATGAAATAAATTAATTCATAGGAAAAGTATACTGAATCATATTAAAATTATTTTGACCAAATATGATATTTAAAAGAAATTATGGCTGGTGAAGTTGTTTTTAAGAAAAGAACTTTATACGCGTATTATTCTAATAGAAAAAATGTGACACTTGTTAGAGAGTCGATTATTTTTTTAAATGGAAACTGCGATCCGAGGTTTTAATATTACTTGCCATTTATGAAGGTTACCTTCAATGCATAATTTATGTAGCATAATGTACTTCACTGAAAAAGTGTATAATTTTTCTACAGGTGCATGCAAGTTTATTATTCTGTAGATGAGGTCAATAATAAGCGTGGGCGAGAATTCATTACTAAAAGCGAATGCGTATCGAAGAAAATGGTCTTTCCATTTCAGAAAACTGTTTTAACTAATATTTTGTTATATTTTATTTTTCGTTTAAGAATCGTATATCAAAAGGTTATAACAATACACAATTTTTGAAAAAATAGCTTATATCTAGACCACAAGTTTCATGTTTTAGCACTGCAGACACTTACGAAAAACAGTACAACAAACGGGATAAATCAACATCACTGAAATCGCTATAATACATTTCTCCAAACAATTCAAGGAAACAATTTCAATTAACAAAATAAATATTTTCTGCGTTACAAATTGCAAATATCTACTTTTTAAACAGATTCGTTTCCTGATTCCGAACATTTCCAATATTCGATTGAAAAATGTTAAAGGCACCAAAATAATTATTTTCAGTGAATGCGTATTGCCGGAAAAAGACAATATCTTTGTAAAGAATGTTTGTCGATCATTTTCCCTTCGAAACCAGAAAGTCATTTCTACGGAGGAGTCGCTGGATAACGAATATCGCAATCCAATGGCTATTCGAATTTCCGGTGTATTCCGACCGAATGGTTGGCTTTTCCATTTTTGTGATTGCGCATCGACATTGGGAGCGTCAATAAAAGCACGGTCCCGGATCAAAAGTTTCAAGGTCGCGAATCCAGTGGAACGTATAATTCGAACTTTTCCACGACAAAATTGGTCGACGTTGTAGCTCTCCCGTTTGATACGATTACGTACCTGGGATAGAAAGCCGGCCACATCGATGGCGCTGTTCACTCGCGGCCTAGAGGTTCTCGACCAACCGAGTCCAGCAGTGCTATCCAAGGAGTCCATGTGATGGTTCGACCAGTGCAGATGCTGGAAATTGCAGCAACGCGATTAGAGATCCTCGCAACAGCGTATACAGTCCGAATTGGAAATTGCTTTCGAAATGCAATCTTTTTCAAGCGTGATTTCTGACAATGCAGACACGGACAAAGAACTTTTTGTACCCACCGAGGATAGGATCAGCTCATAGGATAGAATGTTACCTTCAAATCGAACGATATTAGTGCTTTGAAGAGAAGTGTGATCTTTTTGGTATCAACCTCGTTTCATGGAACCTCGATTATACAAATTTATCTCTGATTGCTGTTATTGGCAGACAGTACTCGATCTAATTTGCGAACGTAATCACTGAGGGATTTATCTGTATGCAGATTAAAAATTGAAGATTATATTGTGTATGCTATGAAGAAATTGAATAGAAAGTTAATCAAAAACAATGAAGAAGAATATTCATCTTTTCATTTTCACATGGAAAAGTAGTAGGATTATTTTGGGAATGTTTTCGTACTGTGAATGAAGAAAATGATGGACGTTGCCGTCTCCTTCGCGAATCGCTATTCAATTTCTACATTCCGTACTTTGGAGAAAGGAAACATTCGTTTTTGCATGAACACTTCATTTATATAATAAAATTATTGTTACATAATCATTTTTATATGAATGTTCCTTTATATATTACAATTATTATCATTACATTTACTTTTACCGTTATGAAAACTATTTTTTACATCCTGTAAGTGAGTAATTATTATGACAGATGCTTCGTCTGATCGAGTATTGTTTGCCATCGACTTATTAGATCGATCGACTTTTATCAGCAATCAGATAATAACGTATTAATTGAGTATTGTGAACTCTTAAAACACTTTTTATTGGTCTGATGTATGCACATTATTTAAAAAAAGTTAAGTATTTTGTTAGCTTTATATACTTTTGTTCAAGTACTTTCATATAAAAATTTTAATCGAGGTTTATTCTGTATTGTATACTATTACTTGCACTTTTTGTTTCACTTTCTCGTCCTCTTACATAATTAGATTTCCTGTCATAAAATTCACTTAAAAACGCGTTGTATAGTGTTCACGCAAATAGTGTTTATAATCGAGGTTTCAACAAATAATAAACATTTGCAAATTAATGCGTAAATACATTTACACGTATACATGTGCATGTTTAACAGGTTCAAATTTCATTAGCTATAAAACTAAACGCACTGCTTGGTTACGAAGTAATTGAATTTATCAAGAATCTTTGTTTTAGAAATTTTACGTTACATAGCGGTTTCCAGAGTCCAATGGGTAAATATAATAATTATATTCATTTTTCAATGATTCTGCAGTGTTTCTTATACACATTATTTACAAATAATCAAATATTATGGATTACGGAGAATAGTAAAAGTTAAAGTTTCTAGACCAAGTACTTTACAGTAATATTTAAGATTCCTATCTATATTGCACGAATCAAAGCACATTGGAGATTTTTTTAGATGTTACAATACGATATTTTTATATTCTTTTTCCTTATATATTCCTTTTTCACCAACAGATATTTATGTAATTATTAGTAATGTTTATTAAATGTATGTCAATATTCCTTAATATCTATATGTTCTTTAATAAACATTTTGTCTATTACTTCATTAGAAAAAGTAGTATGTATTAAATGCATCACCCAACTTGATTATTTTTTTCTTTTCCCATTAGTCCAATATTAATATTCGTATGAATAAATTAAATATTTATTTATTATTGGAACTATTTAATATTATAATTAAATAATAATATTTAAAAAACTGTGACATTGATAGGGATATACAATATAACAATTAATCGGTTTTCAATTTTAATTAACAGATACTGTTACATTGAGACAAATATTGATATTGATATCAAGAGTTTAGAACTCGATAATATAAAAAATAATAAAATTTTTAAAATATAAGCGTATAGAACACATTTCAATGTATAATAGTATATTCTTTACTAAATTTATTGCAAAACAAGTGATATATATATTTAAAAATAAATATTTTATATTTATATTATATTTATATATTAGTACATTTACGTTTGTTATTGTATACTATTTACATTTATTACACTTTATATCACCTAAAATATAAAGTTCATTTAATTTTAAGTTATAATTAAATTTGATGGATTGATAGCTCAAGAGAACTATTTTTAGAGTGCTGCAATTCCGGAAAAGATTGTTCTCGTCTTCCCAAGGGTGAAATAGAGATGAGAAATAGTTCGACCTTCGAGGGTCGATGTACGATATCCCTTCAGAATGAATTTGGACACCGAAGAAATATCGTATTATCTATCAAAGTACCCTCCACATGGTGTGATCTAAAACAGGGGTTGCGAAATTACTAAAATAAATTAAAATTGCTCACTTAACTTTGACACGTAAAGTATTTCTTAAGAAAATAAGATTTTTTTTAGTCTTCCATAAAAATTGTTCTTCGTCACTATAATCAATTTTAAAGAAAATTGTGTGTCATTATACATAAACATTGAGAGAAGAATATTGATTAAATAATCACTTGTTTTACACAAAATTATAGAGAATATAAAGCGTCGATATAAGAAATTCATTTCTTTAAATACATATTGTCTCAAGTTGTTACAGATTTAAAATATTTTCATATTAATGCTTGAAATACTTCATTCAAGCAATATTTAGTTTATGAAACCATAATAGATGTTCAATGTACTGACTGTTTTCGTACGAAAATCATTTTGACAAAAAAATCACGAATAAATCCATCGAAAGACATTAAAATTAATTTTTTTATTAAAACACTAATAATGTTTAACGATAGTTATCTTATTAGATATTCTTATTTAATATGTTTATGTAGATTGTTTTCCTTCGTTTCATTTCGGTTAATGCTTTAACATCTTCGATCGAAAGGTAAAACATTAATCTTTTAATTCAAATATTGAATAAAATAAATGCTATTAGAATTTAAGAGACTCATTAATAATAAAGATCTACGATATTTATAAGATCTATTTATATTTCATTGATGTATCTTAACACATGTATCTATTTCGTTCATGGAACATTAATTTTGCTTACCGATCTGTAATATTTTTGTGGTAATCATTACGTAATAATTATTGAGCACAGCTAGATCCTGTACTATAATTTCTGCAGTAATTTGGACCAGAACAAAAAGCTTATTTATTCAAGTATTTTAATTGAGATTTGACTTCGTGTTTGAGATCAAAATTACGCTGAAATTCTCTTCAAGGTGCTATGTATTTTTAAACAACACTTTGCAGATGTTATAAAACGCCATTGTATGTAATATACTGATATTTCATTTCCCCTAGCTGGGGTAATGAAGCAGCAAGAAGCTCATGTGGTCAACAATGAACGTAAATTCTTATTTACACTTCGGTATTAAAGTAAATTGTTTTTGCCAGTTAAACACTGGTAAAGTACCTGGGAATGATATTTATTGATTGTAGTTCTCACAAAATAAAATGACTTGTTTTACAAGTACTAAACAAATATTTACTTACTGCAAACCATCTCGTATTCATATGTATTTCAATAATTTTCTGCTTATTCTATCTATTTATATTTTTTTTACATGATGTACGGCGTTATTCGTCATACAGCAGAAAGGAAATAATTCGAAGACCAAAAACAAATTAAGACTATAGAATAAAATGTTCATAATTCACTGCATTTACATGTAATAAAAATTTATAGTGTTACGTAAAATTATATATTTCTTGTAGAGTTTATCATTTATTCAAATACAAATCTCTATTGATTTACCATAAAATTTTAATGATATCATATCAGTATTAACAATTATATTAATTGTCTATCTTTTACATTAACATTATATTATTATTTTTCATTTCGTCCATTTTCAGTTTCATTTAAAGCAGTCTCTAGAGAGTCATTCGTATGTCTAATAAGCACGTTAGGTATTTCCGAGACAGTTCCCTAATCGATGGATTGAACGTGACGAAGAAGTTTTGTGTCTGGCACGTACAGCGAACTTAACACGACTTATCTGCTTTAGAGAAAATGAGAAAATGATGCTTATCGGGTTTCAATAACGACAGCCAAAGACATTCGAGGATTCCCAGTAACTATTATTGTAATCCAATACAACAAACTTAAATATTATTTATTGCTCGAGCAGTAAATGAACGCTAAAAGTAATTTTCAGTATGCAGTGAAGTAAATAACTTCTGTAATTAGCTTCTAACTGATTTGTGTATTGCCTCAGTCTTTTAATTACTGCTCATAATTTTGTGAGTGGCATATAATATTTTTGTATGAAAATAAATAATGTTCTCATTCAAGAGTTAAGTTCTATAATATAATATAATGTAAACAGTGTTTATTAGGCTGACCAATATATGCTGTATTTCAATAACCAATACATGATTCTTGTAAATTTTTGTGTATAAATACGAATCTGAGAACTGTTTATCTCCATCATTTCAAATTTTGGGAACCTTAATTTTGAATAGAAATGCAAGGGTATAGCCGAATGAAAAAGGGTAAAAGTGCCACTACTATTAGGGTATTTACAAGGTGGAATGCTGTGCACAGTTCATGGCTAGTATTTTATGTTCTGGTTGATAAAAAATTATGAAAAAAATCATAACTATTTTAGGTGTAGATGTGCACTTCTGGGAATTTTGTTACAAAATTTTAGACTGCAAAATCGATTTTTTAAAAATTCGAGAAAATTATAAATGCTGATTTTTTATTTAAATTATGAGAGCACCACTTTTAAATTCCCATAGAATTACCTTCTCATTATGACTATTAATACCCTATTTTTTTCATACTTTTTGGATTCGATATTTTTCTATATTGTCGGCCGAATTATGCATACTATTATTTATATTTTTATAAATATTATATTTTGCTAAAGCTATTAATGTATAATTTTGGGCAGATTTCTTAAAAGGGTGTATAAGATCTTTCCTAGTTCATATATTGAATAACAAGGTGTTTCAAACTGCATACAGTATTCTAAAAAG